GCAGCGTGGGGCAGTCAGGGCGGAGGGAACTCGCAGGGTGTGGACAAGCAGCGGGCAAGGCGGAGGAGCTGTCCCGACAGGGTGTAGCAAGGTGCCGGCAGAGTGCGAGCAGGGTGAAGGTGCAGCTCAGGCAGGGCGTGGGCAAGGTGTGGGAGAGCTGCGAGGTGAAGCCGCCGCTCAGGCACAGCGCAAGCAGAGCAGCATCCCTGCCCTGCCTCTTTCCAGGAGCGCCATCCCTCCCGCGCTTCAGGAGGGATCAGGAGCCGGGCAGGGCAGGCACCGCTCACCGCCACTCATCAGGTACTCCCGGAACAAGGGCAGGCGGAAATTCCCGGCCAGCGTGGTGAGGAAGGAGCGGATGCCCGGGAACAGCTCCTCGAAGCCCGTGGAGCCCGTGATGAAGTTGCAGAAGGCGCCGACGCAGAGGATGCCGTGGGGGTGCGAGCCGATGATGTAGTTGTGGCTGGGGGACAGGTCGTGTGTCTTCACCAGCTGCGGGGGCAAAAGGAGTCACGGGAACGTGACGGTGGCACCTCCTTTTGGGTGGTCCCACCGCGTCCCAGCCCCGTACCTTCACCGGGAAATAATCCCGAAAGTGCTTCCATACTGTCCATCGCCGCAGGCACGACAGCCTCCTGCCACCTGCAAAGCCGGGAGGGGCCCCAGGAGATGCCGCCCAGCCCAGCCCAGCCCAGCCCAACCGGATCCAAGGGAAACGCTCCCCCGGACCCGCTGCATCCCCATGCCCACCGTGGTGCTGATGATGGAGGAGTGGAGGGAAGGGGAATGTGGTGCTCCCCAAATTCTGCGAGACACCTGAAAGGGGGGCCCCTCTCCCATCCCGCTGCAAAGCTGGAGGAAGCAGGGACACGGCCAGCACACCTTTCTCCGGCGTGTCCCAGTCGAAGATGATCCAGGCCAGGTAGAGCACGGGGATGAGCCAGAGGCTGGTGAACAGCAGGTAGATGAGGAGCAGGAGGCTGACGATTCCTGCGGGAGCCGGGCAGGGGGTGAGNGGGACTGGGACTGCACACAGCAGAGGGGGGTGCTGAGGGGGTTTGCAGCCTCAGCTCTGGGCTCCAGGAGCTGCAGCCTCTCAGGGCATTCCCAAGTGCCCAGACCTGAGCTGTCCCTGCCCTGCCCTGCAGGGATGAGGGCTGGAGGCCCCAGGTTGGTCCTAGCCCTGCCCTTTGAGACTGTGGGAGGAGGGTGCTGGTGCTGATCAGGGCAGGAGAGCCACCAGACACTCATGGGAATGGGAAGGACACTGAGGAGGCTCTTTTGGGGCAGCAGGCTGGTGTTCCATCCCTGAACTCCCGGGGACACATGGGGCTGACAAATCACTACAGAGAATTGACACTGGTGCCTCCCTGGGCAGGCACAGCTTCTCCAGGTGACTCAGTGGTGACAGTCAGGGACCAGACTGAACCTGGGGACAGAGCCCAGGCTGGGCGGATTCTCAGAGATGTCCCTGTCACGCTGCTGTCCGTGGCAGAGGGGAGGGACATGGCCTGGGGCATTTGCTGCCCATAACCCCCAATAAAGCCCCTTCCCCTCTCTACACTCAGGCCTGTTTCTCCCTGCAACAGAAGGAAGAGGGACAAGACAATCATCTTCATCCCAGAGAAAATCCACTGGGGCAGCTCTGGGGGGATGAGCTGGAGCTCCCGTGGTGACAGGAAGGTTCTTGGGAATTTCCCTTTATGGGTGTTTGCTCCTCAAATGTTTACCCAGCCCTTTTGTTTGACCAAGTGCCTGCGCAGAGCAGTGCACTGAGATTGGTATCAGTGCTGTTGACTCTCCCACGCCAGCCTGGCAGGAATGGGACAGGGACAGGGCTGTCCCCACTCTAAGAGCCCCAGGAGTCCCTGCAAGTCCCTGTCTCCATCAGTCTCTGCAAATCCTTCCAGCACATGCCTAAGAAAGGCGTGCCCAGAGTGTCACTGGGGTGTCACACACAGCAACCACACCAGTCACACACAGCCACAGGAGGTGCCCAGGGGAAGGAGATGAAGGAGATGGCCCCAGGGATGGCCCATCCCAGCCCCACATCCCTGTCCCACCCAGAGAGACCCTCACTCACCACTGAGCCAAGAGCAGAGAGAGCAGGAGACATCCCTCCTGAGCCCAGTTAAACCAGTAAGAGCTGCCCCTCACCTCCCATTATATCCAATGTGGCTCAGGTGTATCTGGGAGCTGCTTGGCAGCACCTGAGTGGTGCAAGGGCCCTGCCAAACACTGCCCCAGCTGGAGGTGGGACTGCCAGGGAGGGGACACACTGGGTGGCAAGGGCACCCAGATGGGCAGTGCAGGGGTACTGCCACCATGCTGCCAATCCCAACCTCTGGAACACACACAGACAGGCATTGGGAAGTTCAAAATCTGTATTGGGTATGGAGATGACAGGAAAGGCTCATCTGGGGCCACATAGTCCTGGCTCAGGACACATCCACAGGTCCCCAAGTCCAGGAGTGTCCCCCTTCCATCCCAGGGTGGGCTGTGCTGGTCATCCCAGGCTGGTCCCACTGGTCATCAGGATGCCACCCCAAAAACCCCACGTCAGTCCCTCCTCCCATGACACCCCTCCCTCAGCTTGTGGTGACCTGGTTACCCCAGGGGGACCGTGCCCACGGCTGGCCCCAGCCCCACTCCAGCCCCTTGCAGGGAACAGCTGTGTCACCCACAGCCCCCCCAAGCCCCCTGCCAGGGGGAGCCTTCCCCAATCCTCCCCTCGCTTCCCCCTCTCTTCCCACCTCCCCCTCAGGCTGGAGGACCAGCAGGCCAGAGCAGGGACTGTCCCCCGCATGTCCCCCATGCCAGGCTGGCTGAAATTCCCCCTGCAAGAGCCCTCATGAGCCAGGACGGGGCCGGTGCTGGTGGCGATCAGAGGATGTGCAGCTCGTCTGACTCGGACAGCCCGTACTTGGTCTTGTTCTCGTTGAAGAGCTTGAGCAGGGCGTGGATGTAGAGCTCGTGGTACCGATCCACCAGCTCCCGGCTCGGGTTCTCCACCTTGGGCACCGCCAGCGGCTCCCCCACTGCCGGCAGGGGATGGGGTCAGCCTGGTGGCCGGCTCGCTGGGGACACAGCCCAGGAGGTGGCTACCCTGTCCCCCCAGCCCCAGTGCTCACCCACGGTGGTGATGGGTCTGGCGTAGGGCAGGAAGCCGCGGGAGCGGCAGGAGGTGAGGCCGCGGCCGTAGAACAGGCAGGGAGCGAAGCCCATCATCTTCTGGAAGCGCCGCTGGATGCTCCTCATCCAGCTGCCCTCCTCAAAGACCACCTGGCGGAAGAGGTCGTTCTCTCCAAAGGAGAAGGAGGGGACGAGGAAAGCCCTGAGGAGGGAGGGAGGGGACACGGTGGGTGGTGACGGGCGCTGGGCACCGCC